ATGATTCTAGGCAGGGGCCGTAAAACGGACTAAGGAAGAAGCTGAGGAATTCAAGGCACTGAAGACAATGGGAAGAGGTAGGAGATGAGATTCAGAGTCAGGCTGGAGGAGACAACACAGCCCTACAGGTCATGGTTAGGACTGTGGTCTTCACTCAAAGAGCAGAAGAAAGCTACCGAAGTTGCTAATGGTTCAACTATAAATGTCCTGATTGACACCAATTTTGCATACAGACCTTACCTTCCAAAAACTGATCCAAAGCATGATTAGTATAACATACAACCAAGATGGGGAACTTCTGGAGGCTAATTTGCCAAACAGGCTCATTGGTTAGAAGGGCCTGAACAATTTTTAGACCCACATAGGTTTTGCCTAGAAAACAAGAAAAAAAAGAGAATTAGAAAACTTAGAGACTTACTAAAAGGAGTAGTTAATTATAGAAAATTATTATAATTATTTTTTAATTTAAGGTAATACACTGAGATGGCTTAAATCCAAGAAGTACAAATGAGTATATCATAAAAAGCCCTCTCACTCTTCTGTCCCCCAGCCACCCGCTTCCTCTTAAAAGCAACCAATGTTACCAGTTTCTCATGTAACTCTCCAGAGATAGTCATTCAGTGCATATATAAACAAATATGAATATAGTTTCTTTCTTTAATACAAATAGTAGCAGACTATTTTCACTGTTCTACTTCTTGCTGTTTTCACTTAATGTATCTTGGAGGCAGTTCTCTAACAGTACATAAAAAGAATTCTCCCTCTTTTTTTTCCTTTTTTTTTTTTTAAATTTTATTTAAATATATCTTTATTGATTTCAGAGAGAGGAAAGGAGAAAGTGAGACAGAGATAGAAACATCAATGATGAGAAAGTCATTGATCGAGACCGCAATCTGGGCATGTGCCCTGACCAGGAATCGAACCCCGATCGCCTGAATCCTAGGTTGATGCTCAACCGCTGAGCCACGCCAGGCCAGGCGAATTCTCCCTCTTTTTGTTTTTCATAGCTGTAAGGTATTTTTTAGCCAGTTCCCTATTGATGGACATGTAATTTGTTTCCAATCTCATGTGGCAAATTATTTAGAAATGCTTTTAATATACCACAGTGGACCTGCCTTTGTAATAGAAGGGAAAAACTCAGAGAAATCAACAATGCAGTTAGAGTTATGGGCTCATCAGCAAATTTCCAATAATTAAGTAAGTCTACAAATAGCTAAATTTTTATGTAGCGTTAGGCTGAGAAGGCAGTCACTGCCCTCAAAAAACTCAAATTAGTGAGGAAGAGATACAAGAAAATCAAAGATTTTAGTATAGCATGATAAGTAACAATTTCTTTCTTCCTCCCCATCTCCTGCCCCACCCCAATAGTTCTGAGTGCTTAACAGGTGTCAGGCATTGGGTAGGTACAAGAAATAAAATAGTGAGCACAATAGCCATGGTTCTTATTTTCCTCGACCTTAGAGACCTCCTGTAGAAGAGAAAGATAATCATTCAAACAAATGTAAAACCGTAAATGTGGGAAATGAGAAATACATGGTATCAAGAACACACATAACTGGGAATCTGGCCTAGTCAATGAGGTTAGAAGAGGCTTCCCTGGGAAACTAAGAGCGGAGAAGAGGCTTCCCCGGCGAAGTGACACCTGAATAAGAGTGAGCTAGAGGTGTACCAGCTGGGAGGTTCTGCTATCTTCTAGATCCATGAGGCCTGAAGCCTGGGTCCAGGGGCATAGATAAGCAGGCAGACTGCGGAGAAGTTTCAGAGGTAAAACTGATTGGAACTTCATAATGGTTTGGTTGGAGTAGGGAGCAGAAAAAGGTAACTCCTAGGCTTCCAGTTTGGAGGACAGGATAGATAAAGAGAACCTCAGAAAGAAAGAACATCTTTATAATTCAATACTCTATCGCCTCCCACTGCTTCCGTCCCCTTAGAATGGATACTTTTTGGGATTTCCACCTCAAAAATGACCCTCTTTACTACTTTCCTCTTATACTCATAGGTGTATACCTAGTAGGGGTGTGTGTGTGGGGGAGGCACTTAAGCTAGCTTGAAATGATTACTATACTTGGAACTCAAGAGTCCTAATTCAGTGATAACATTAGGAAAAATTATTTGCAAAATAAATATTTTGAATATACAAATAGCTCCTACAAATCAACACAAAAAGTCATTCAACAGAAATATGAACAAATTCAAAAGGGAAATCCATAAGAGCAGTAATATAAATAGCTAATAAACACAAGAAAGGATATTTAACCTCATTCTTAATTAAAGAAACACAAATTAACCACTGTGATATACATTTCTAGAAGGCAATTTGACAATATCTATTAAAACTATAAATTCAGTTAGTGATTTCTCTTCTGTTTGTATGTGAAATGACTCACAAACAAGGCTATTCACTGAAATATTTGTATTATTAAATATTTCCAAAGGGAACTGGTTAGAGATTATGAGCTATCCACACAATGGAATATAAACAAGAGTGAGACACTACTTATGTACCAATGTGAAAGGATCACAAACGAGGAAAAACAACATGCAGAAGAGTGTTTCTAGCACAGTGGTTAAAAAAAAGTGGGGGGAGCCCTGGTCAGTGTTGCTCAGTGGTTAGAGCATAGGCCTACACACCAAAGGGTCCTGGGTTTGATTCCCAGTGAAGGTCATGTACCTGGCTTGCAGGTTCCATCCAGCACCTAGTCAGGACGCGTTCAGGAAGTAACCAATCAATGTGTCTTTTCTCACATCAATGCCCACCCCCCCTTCCACTCTCTCTAAAAAAATCAATGGAAAAAATATCCTTAAGTATTAACCCCCCCAAATAAGTGGGGGAAATACATGTAAGTATGCATTTGCTTGAATATTCATAAGAATATCTTTGGAAGGATATGCAGGAAGATAACATTGTTTACTTCAGAAAAAGGAATGAGCGATGTGATAGGAGGAGGGAGACAGAGACTTTTAAAAATGTTTGAACCATTTTTTATTAAAACATAAAATTAAAATTAATAATGAGCCAAAAATTTCAACCTCACAGATCAGCAAAAACTGCTGATCAGCAAAAAAGAATGGTAACATATAATAATGCTGGAAAGGATGTAAGGAAATGAGAACACTAATTCACTCTTGGTGAGAGTACAAACTGGTACTTTTTAATCCTCAAAACATCACTTTATTTATTTATTTATTAAAATATGTCTTTATTGATTTCAGAGAGAGGAAAGGAGAGGGAGAGAGAGAGAAACATCATGAGTCACTGATTGTCTGTCTCCTGCACGCCCCCTACTGGGGATGGAGCCCAAACCTGGTCAAGTGCCCTGACTGGGAACCGAAACTTGATCTCCTGGATCATAGGTTGACGCTCAACCGCTGAGCAACATGGGCCAGGTTACGGCACTTTAATTATTCCCCATCATATAGATGTTCCTTATTAGAAAGAACTTTCCATCTTGTTACATTAACTTTTTATCATGAGTTGCTTTTACTTTATCAGAGCTTTTTAAAGACCTCTTCCTGTTTTTGTTGTTTTGTATATACTTAGGGAGGATAATTTAGAAGTACCTAATATAACTATTAATGTGAATTCCCACTTTAGGAAAAAAAAATTAGAAATAATAAGCAGAGTACCCAAAGATAAACACACACAGATATAGACATATGGATACTTATTACAGCACTCATGTAATAACAAATATATAGAGAGTACCCTACAGTGAATGCCAGCATGATAAAAGGAGTGAGGTACATGTGTAAATGTAACTATAGTGTAAAGAATGTAAAAATGTCCACAACATGTTGTTTATATATGTACATGTAAATATGTAGACCAATAAAAGAGCATGATCTCATTTTTGTTATTGAAAAAATAGAAAAAGCGTGGTATATTATGTAAACATATAAATACACATACAAACACAGAGAAATATCAGTGCTAATCTTGGAGAACATCTGGAAAGATACACATTAAACTGCTAACAGTAGCTATCACTCCAGGGTAGGATCAGAGAATGACACATGGGGAGAAGGGTATACGGAGGTATATTTTCTATGAGAAGCAAGTATAGTGTAGGGGAGCCAGGACTCTAGAGCCAAAATGCCTGAGTTCAAGTCCTTAGTCTGTCACTTACCATCTGTGTGAGCTTCAAAATATTATTCAAGCTCTCTTTTCCTTAGTTTTTTCATCTGAAAATGGAATGGTTTCTGCCTCACTGAGCTATTGTGAGGATGCAATGAGTTAACATATGTAAAATAGTACTTGGCATATAGGGCTATTATTACATACAGTAAGTCCTCACTTAACGTTGTTGATTGGTTCTTGGAAACTGAGTCTTTAAGCGAAATGACATAACAAAACCAATTTTCTCATAGGCTAATTGATAGAAAGAAGAGTAAGTTTCTACGGCATATTTCTGGTCACAAAAACATGACCAAACTCCTAAATAAAGACCCAAATTCTCCTAATATTATATACTGAAATAAGTGTGAGTTATACATACATTTAAGAAAGATTAATAAAAACAAGTAAAAGAATTCTTTTCCAACCCATTTATTCCAGTTCAGGGCCAGGGGTGGCTGGAGCCAATCCTGGCAGCTCAGGGTGCAAGGTAGGACCCACCCTGGACAGGATGCCCTTCCATCACAGGGCACACTCTCACACTCACTCAGACTGGGACAATGTAGACATGCCAATCCTCCTCAATGTGCACATCTCTGGGATGAAGGAGGAATACGGAGTCCCTGGAGGAAACCCACAGATATGGGGAGACCGTGCAAACTCCACTGTGGCCCTGGCTGGGAATCAATTTTTTTCCTCATCAATATTATAACAAAATGATGGTGAATGAAATAATGTTATTCAAAGACTTGATATTATTTAATTTAAAATCAAGCAAACTGATGAAGCAGAGGTAATACACCGTCTGAAGTTTGACCCCTAGCAGTCTTTTCTAACCTTGCAATTTTGATTTATTAGTATACATACCATTGGGTCCCCACTGGAAAATCACCATAATAAGCAGCAATTTTATAAATAAGTTTGAGGCCCATTTCATGAAAATGTTTCTTTTTTTTCTTGAATTGAATTTATTTGTGTGACATTAATAAAATTATATATAGGTTTTTGGTATACAACTCTATAATACATTATCTGTATATTGTATTGCGTGTTCACTACCCCAAGTCAAGTCTCCTTCCATCACCATTTATTCCCCCATCCCCTCATGAGAATGTTTCTAACCAAGGCATCCTAGAAACCTTGAGTCAAGCCTACCTTTCCTATCTCCTAAGGCAGATGACATGTGCTCTGAAAAATTATCTTACCTGTTCCAGGAGGTCCCTGAATGATAGCTAGTTCCCTTGTGAGAGCAAACTGCAAAGCTTCCATCTGGGAGTCATCCAGCTTCAGGGCTTCTTTGGAGGGCCACTGGCTGGGGTCTAAGACATTAACTCTGTCATGTCTCAAGCCCTCAGCATTCCTCAGAGATTCCCCAGAGGCTGAGGGATTCTTTATTAAGGGAGTGAAATCATATCTGCCTCCCATTAGCAAATACCTTGGTTCCTTCACATGGGAGTCACATTCCACAATGTTTCTCTGGAAGGGGACATCTTCCTCCTGGATCTCCTGGAGCCCTTCCAGGACATGCCTATAGGCCTCAAAGTATGCGGTTGTCTCCACCATGAGGAAAGAGTCAGAGGGCTGTACCTCTGCTAGCAGCTGTTGGCTCTGTTCATTGAAGCAGAGCTGGACAAATCCTCGGCAGAGATCCTCATGCTCCCGGTTAGACACTGTGGCAAAAAGAAATGTCTCAAAATTGTCCTTGGACATGCACACCAAGGACCCATAGAGCAATCGATTGGAATTTTGCCAGCGAACAAACTTCAGTGGTTTTGTGTCAAACTGCACCTTATAGACAATGCCTGATGATGAACACACAGGGGTGATAATCCTGGTATCAAAGTAGATTCGGATGTCATCAAATTTTCTCTTTCTCAGGCCTTGGTCTTCAAAGCTTTGGAGAAGTTCCAAAATGCCTTCTCGTAGGGGTCTGACAAAATCTTCTCGAAGAAGTCGGAAGTGGGTATCCAGATAGACAGCAGTGCTCTCATATTTTCCAGAAATGATGTTGGGGCGAAGAAATGGCTTCTCATCCAAGTGCACCTCATTGTAGGTAGGGTAAATGGGCATGGTCCGGTAGCTCTCAACATTTTCTTCTGCCTCAGGCTGTACTAAAGTGTAGGTATCCACTCTTAAAGTGCCCTCTCGCCTCTTTTCCTGCAAATGTTCGATGACAGTCTGCACCTTTTCCAGGTTCTTCTCAGTCTCCTCTTCTATGTCAACACCAGAGGCTCTCAAAGCATTCAGAGAAGCTGGCAGGAGGGAAATGAGCATGGAAGTTTCCTGCACAGAACTGGCAGGGAAGACGCTTACCAGGTCCTGGAGGAGGGAGACAATGTTGCTAATGTGTCCTGGATACCGGTTTCGAACATCGGGCACAGGTTCAGTGATCATCCCTACCACATAAGCTGGCAGGCAGACTCTGAGGAACTGTGAGCTCTTCAATATGCCCAGGACGTGGAGAACACTCTGGCGATCCATTTTGGAACTGCAAGCCTTCCGAAGAACCTGGCAAATGAGCTCAAGGAAGTTGGGTTTAATAAAAGAATGAGACAGAAGCTCCTTCAGTCCTAAGCTTGTGGCAAGTGTGATAACCACCTCAGAGGGGTCTTTCTGCAGAAGACTTTCTAGGAACTTATAGCCCAGTTTCTTCATCTGCTGTGGCTGTTCTGCAGGCTTCTGGTGGGGGGTCTGCCACTGTTGGAATTTTTCACCAGGCCATGGCGGTCTGCGGTTCCTTCCCTCCTGACTGCCATTTCTCTCTCTGGTGTCATTCTCCTGACCACGTCTTTGTCCTCTAGGTTCATTGTTGCCACGTCCTCCACAGTTCCTCCTTTCAGGATGTGGGTTCCTTCCCATGGCCGCAAACCTCTCTTCTCTTTGCCAATAAGGAACAGGATGGTTGTTGGCCCTCGGATGCCTTCCCAGTTGGTTGGCTTCTCCTCTGAGAGCATTGGCTGGTGGATTATTGGCGTGATTTCTAGCTCTTGGTGGTAAATCACCATCCATAGGCCCTAAACACAATGGGAATATTGGGTAAGCACAAAAATCAAGGTACAAGGAAACTGTTGTAGGACAACAGTGAACATGTTCTCATTTTCCCAAATAAGCAAGGAGCTTAGGTTTTATTTGGAGAAATAAGGCATGTACTAAATGTAAAACAGATTACTATATTGTTGTATATATTATAACAATGTTTTTCTCAGAGGGTACAAAAGGGAAAAGGAATAAACATTTGTTGAGTGCCTAATACATGCTAGACAATAAACGCTTATAGTGTATCATTTAATCCTCACAAGTTGGATTATTTCAGAGGGGCAAAAAGATCAGCTCATTGCTCCAGTTTCTTGTGAGTACCAAACAATCTGGTACTGGGCACTTCCTCACTGTATTACCTCGGCTAAGTTGCATAGTTTCTCTAAGCCTCAGTATATGGGTTGTTGTAAAGATTAAATGTTTATAAGACGCTTAATATAGTGTAGTACCTGACATATAAAAAGTTCTCATTAATGTCAATTATTACTAGTAGCACTAGTAATAATTTTCTGTTGGCCTACCCTATTGATTTTTAGAGTCATTGGCTCTGCCATTAAACAGTTATATCATAGGCAACAGAGGCACCAAGTGAGATAAAGCTATAAAGGGAAATGCTTCTTAAACTTTGCCCAGCATCAGACAGTAAAGGGGAAGGTAAGATTTCCTTTACTAAGATGTTTTTGAGCTAACTACAGACTATAACAGAAACTGAAAGATGAAACTCACCTTTTCCCTTTCTGCAGCACAGGTTCTTTTATGGATTACCAACCCTCAAAAGAGAAAGTATAGAGGGGAGGAAGGTGACACACCCAGGACACAGAAAAGCTAAAATCACTCAGTGGATGAAGCCAAACTTGTTTTCCTTGATCTGCCACACATTTTATAAGTGACCTTGGCCCATATACCCACGTCCAGTTGTTTTTTTTTCACTTTCCTTTTCTCTAAAACTGATTCTGGAGCTCACCCAACTTAGCAGCAAGACTTGGAGATTTTAAAAACAAACAAACAGCCCAGTTGGGTGTGGCTCAGCGGTCGAGGAGATCCAGGAGATCACGGTTCGATTCCCAGTCAGGGCACGTGCCTGGGTTGTGGGTTCGATCCCCAGTCGGGGGCATGCAGGGGGCAGTCGATCAATGACTCATCATTGATGTTTCTCTTTCTCTCTCTCCCTCTCCCTTCACCTCTCTGAAGTCAATAAAAATATATATATTTAAAAACAAAAACGAAACAAAAAAACAAGACAGTATACAATGATTTCTCATTCTTTCAACATTCGCACAGCTCATAAAATAAAATTCTACAGTTCTTCCTAATTTGTTCCACAGCTAAACTCAGATGACATACTGCAAACTTAGGGAAAAGCAAAAATCCATTTGGTTTTGTTTTAGAAAGTTCTGGGCAAACAGAACAACCACTGCAGTAGAGTAATGCTTTTGGAACTAACTTTGCTTTGGTGGCTACGACTCTAGGCACATGCTATCAAATACATGGTCACTAGCTATGTGTGGCTATTACACATCTTAAATGTAGCTAGTCTGAATTAAGATATATAAAATAACACATGGAATTTTGAAGACTTAATACCAAAATAAAGTTAAATATCTCATTAAAACCTTAAAATGATAATACTTGAATATATGGGAGGTAAATAAAAACATTAAAATTATTAAAGTACTATGATAATAAAATATGTATTCAGTTATAATAAAAAGATATTTGAATATATTGGCTTAAATAAGACAAGTACTAAATCATTAAATTTTATTAAATTAGCATTAAATTTGAAAAATGGATTTCCTGTTTCTTTTTGTTTTTAACAATGCTACTAGAAAACTTTTAAATTACATTTTGGCTTCTATATTTCTGTTGGACAGTGTTGCTCTAAACCAGAGCCTTATTTCCATTTCTGACACCTAACCATTATCTTTGTTGAAGTGCACCCATTCATGAGCTCTCTTAGGGAAAGGGGAGGGCTGTCTGTTTTATCATACTGTAGCTAAAAAATAAGCCATTCTTTACTTGCTTATTCATAGGAAACTCAGTTTCCTTCCCATTAGTTAGAAAACCTTGCTCACCTCTGTGGTTGGTGTGGGGATTCCTGGGCCTGACATCCGGACAAGGTCTTCTGTCCTCCATATCTGAGTCACTTGAATTTCTCCAGGTTCACGTTCCTTTAAATTACTTGGATATCTGTACAGATTGAGAGGAATTAGTGCCCTTGAAACACAGCATCTAGCAGAAAAACTCAAAACAGTATTAAGTGGACCCTTCTGCCTCTACATCTTAGTGATTTGTTAACTAAGAGGTAAACACAGGTTTTAATCAGGGACACAGTGTTCAACTCTGTGAATACCCAATTATGATATAGAAACACTAAATTCACAATTGAGGTGACTTCAAGGGGTCAAATCCCCCCCTTCTCTTTATCCTTGCACTTTCTCAGGGTAGAGGAAGTGTCATTAATTCCCATTCACAACTACTGTTTGGCTTATGGCTTTAGCCAAACTATGTAAGCAGTTGCTAGGTTTCGTTTTCCTCATCTATAGAGAAGATAAATATTGTTGCCAGGACAGAAAGAGGTACACGTTTGTTAATCCCAAAACCATGTATGTATCACCCCATTCAGCACTTATATTAAACAGCATTCTATAGCTTACAGTCCTCTACCGTTTGTAAATAATTATCGAGCAGTTAACCCTTACCCTACTCTTTGGAATGCAGCCAAGATGATTAAGCCCTTTGCTCTAGTCAATCAAAAGAAAAATACCCGTTTCAATAATCAAGAGGCCTAACACCTACGGGATGCTGTTTCCTCAACCCCCTAGAAACCTGCAGTACTTTCCCTCTCTTTCTACCTTGATGATTTTTTACAGTGGTCCTGGAAGAGGAAGTGGAGGCCCCTTCAACACAGCTCATACACCCTCAGCGGCTGGGGAAAAGTGGGTGGCTCAGAGTTCACAGCAAGGGGATTTTTCAGGCTGTCTTTCTCACTGAGTTTTTAAATATTCACGGTTGGAAACTGTGAATAGATTTGGCATTATAGGAGGAGTAGCTTTTCTTCTCATCAGGAAAAGGAGTCCATTTCCTTCCTGCTGGAAATATTTTTGGTGAATCTCCTTCATCGTATCAAACCCGGCTCTCATGGCGCAGGTTCAATCTTCAGAGCTTTTTTTTAATTAAAAAAAAAAATTTGTCTGAAGGGGAAATTCCTTCTTCCTCTTGTAGAAAAAAATACTAAAACAGAAACTCAGAAATTTCCTTGAATAAGAGAAATGAAAGAAAAGAAAAAAGAATGGCAAGGAAAGGGAGGAGCAGGAAGAAACAGGAAATGCTATGGGAAAAAAAAAGCAGACTAAAGTGCGTTTGTTTGGGAAACAAGGCCTAAGGGGCAGGGGGAGGAAAAATCAGAGATGGTGGAGCTGGTTTAGGGATCAAATGGTAGAATGGTAATCGCCAGGGCAGGATGACAGGGGCTGAAACTAGAGACAGAGCTGGGTCTCCGGGGGGGAAGTCTCCAGGGTCCTAAGAGAGTAGAAGAGCCGATGGAGGAGCCGCTGGCACCGGGGAGCCCGCCCGGCCCTGATGGGAATATTATGGGGTCAGGCAGAGCCAGGGCTGTGTGGTGGCACGAAGGAGGTGCCTTGGCAAGGCTGAAGCAGGGGGTGGCAGGGGAGATGGGGAGAGCTGAAGGGGTGTGGGGCCTCAGGAAGCAGGGGGGCTGAGCTCAGC